GCCATGATTCGATAGTGACTTGGCCCACCTAGCCTCCACTACGGGACAATTGATGCAACCCGCAACAATAAACTCAAGAGTGATGCTAAACATTATGTTTGGGATGACCCCTATTTGTGGAAGTTTTGCAGTGATCAGGTAATCAGGAGATGCTTGCCGAACCATGAGGTTGACTCCGTCCTGCAGTTCTGTCATTCTTCTACATCTGGTGGTCATCTTGGCATTCAGAGGACAGCTCGCAAGGTGTTTGACTGTGGTTTTGACTGGCCCACCATCTTCAAGGATGTGTGGAAGATTTGCAGCACTTGTGAGCAGTGTCAGAGAGCAGGAGGATCCCTTACATGGAGACAGCAGATGCCTCAGCAGCCCATGCTATTTTGTGAGGTGTTTGATGTCTGGGGTATTGATTTCATGGGTCCCTTTCCTGTTTCTTTTGGTTTTTCATATATTCTCCTAGCTGTTGATTATGTTTCAAAATAGGTGGAAGCCAAAGCCACCAGAACTAATGATGCTCGGGTTGTTGTGGATTTTGTCAGATCTAACATATTTTGCAGGTTTGGAGTACCCAGAGCTATTGTTAGTAGTGATCAGGGCACCCATTTTTGTAACAGATCTATGCAGGCTTTGCTCAAGAAGTATGGGGTAGTGCACAGAATTTCTACACCCTACCACCCGCAGACTAATGGGCAAGCTGAGATTTCAAATAGGGAGATCAAGAGGATCTTAGAGAAGATTGTGCAGCCCAACAGAAAAGATTGGAGCAATAGGCTAGAGGACACTCTTTGGGCGCATAGGATTGCCTACAAGGCACCTATAGGGATGTCTCCTTATCGGGTTGTCTTTGGTAAGGCATGTCATTTACCTGTGGAGATAGAGCACCGAGCTTACTGGGCTGTGAAGACTTGCAACTTCACTATTGATCAGGCTGGAGAGGAAAGGAAGTTGCAACTGAGTGAGCTTGATGAGATCCGCCTTGAAGCTTATGAGAACTCTAAGTTCTACAAGGAGAAAACCAAGAAGTTCCATGACAGCTTGATAGCTAGGAAGGACTTTGTGGTTGGCCAGAAAGTTCTCTTGTACAATTCTCGGCTCGGACTCATGGGTGGTAAGTTACGTTCTAAGTGGATTGGACCTTTTGTTGTTACTAATGTTTTTCCTTATGGTACAGTTGAGGTCAAAAGTGAATCCACAAACAAGAGCTTCAAAGTTAATGGGCACCGTCTGAAGCCCTTCCTCAGCAATCCATCCCTGTTGAATGCAGTTGAAGAGGAGATGTCTCTGCTCGACCCTGCTACTCTCCCACCATGACTTAGGGAGTTTTCTTTCCCCCTCTCCTTCTTTACTTTTATTGCACTTGTCCAGATTTATTGATTGTTCTGATTGCTCTGATCTTCTGTTTGGGCCACATTGGGACAATGTGTGATTTAAGTGTGGGGGGGAACTGTTTTGGTTTGATTACATGCTTTTACGGTTTATTTGTTATTTTAGGTTTTATGTTTAGGCGTTCTGTACAGCTTTGCATGTTTCTTTGTGATTTTTGGGTTTTGATTGTTTGTAGGCACTTACTT